TCATTGTATCTATCTGTCTTATTTACAATTTCGTTATTCTCTTCCAACATTCTTCTAGCGTTTTATTAATTCAAACATAGACAAACAAAACACAAAACATAAATACATAAAACTTCTTTTTGGAAAGCGGCTTACCCCGAGTTACATCTTTTTGTACAGACATAAATCAGATTCATGCTCACTTAATATACTATTTCATATCTTATTTAACATTCTATATTTTCTATATATTTTCTCTCTTCTATTCACTCTCTTAATTCCATATTATCTATTTCATCTCAGTTTAGATAGTTATACTTGCATCTTTTGTCCATTCTCTTTCAATTGTCTATTTATCTTTTCTTTCTAATACAATATTTCTCCTGTAATCACTGGTTGAAGTATGACAACTTTTTATCTTTCCCCTAAATTTAACAATTAAAATAATACATACTTTCCATACTGATTCTGCTTAGTACATTCTAAGTACTACATTTTAGAATAATAAAACAAAAAAAGAGAATTAAGTTTATAATATAGTAAAAACAATATTCCATAGGAAGTTAAACTCTATTGTTAAATCTTAAACATTTTTATACATTCCCTTTAATGCATTATTAACTCATATAATATTTCAGTTTTCTAACTTGATTTCAAATACTAATATCTACAATACAGTCTTATGTACTTTTGCAGAATCATTTTTTAAAATTATATTTTACCCTTTGTCTCTGAAAAAACCTGTTTTTTAACATCTTGTTTTAAACCTTTATGACTTCTCTTTCCTTTTTCCCTTCCTTTCTTATCAATTCTAGCCTTTTTGCCCCCCCCCCCCATCTCTCAAACTCCACTCTTAATCTTCCCTCTCTGTTGTATTTCTCTTTTCTATTGCTTTCTGACATTGTATCGATTTTTCACCTTATTTTTCCCTTTCTTGGTTGCTTTTTTAAGTTCTGAGTTCTCCAAGAGGGCTGGGATGAAGAAGAAGAAGCCATCTTTAATGGACATATGATCTTAGTTGAGGAAGAAAAGAGAAAGGGGGGAAAGAAAATAACCAGCTTTTTGATACTCCCCTCAATAACCTAGCCATTACATTCTGCACCAGCAATAGCTTCTGGGTTGTCTCCAAAGAGAGCCGTATAGACAGTGTATTTCAGTTCTTTATCTGAGTACTGAATTACTGACACCAGAAAATTCAGGTCTAAAGTGAGTCACAAGTAGTGTTACAAATGAAGCTGGGTGATGGCCAATTGTCACAATTTTTACCTGCTGTTTTAATGAGATCCAAAAATTTAGGAGAATCATTGCCCCCAAGTTATGAGCCATCGGGTTCAGGGGAAATGAGATTCCCACTGAGGATAACTACTAGGATTAATGTTATTGGGTTGCCTAGTTTCATTTAATTATGTTGTAAGTGAATACACCATATTGTTTCAATGCAGTGAGATTTGTAATAGTCTAGCTGTTTATTAATAATCAACAACTCCATAATAATCAACTTGGCTCTGAGTAAATGGACGGCTATCATTTATTAGGAAGCTAGGTTTCATCTGGGTGCCTGGTTGGGGAGTGTTTGAGCTGGAGGTATCAGGGGGGATCTGTTTGTGCCCAGGTGTTTGCCTGGCTTGTGGTGTGGATATTTTTTTGTTTGTGAGTGCAGGCTTCCAAATAATTGACATTCTGGTGGAATCATCTCTTCTATTCATGCTTTCATGTCTTTTTTCAATCTCTATGGCTTCTCTGATAATTCTGTAGCTAGGGTTTTCTATAGTGGCTAGGATTTTGGTGCCATTGAAGTCGATGCTATGACCTGTGACTTTCATGTGTTGGACTAGTGAGGAAGTGTGTTCCAGCTTTTTTACTGCATTTTTGTGTTCATCCAGGTGGGTACTTATTCTTCTATTGGTCTGTCCAATGTATGTGGCAGGGCATGATGCACAAGGGACTTCATATATGCCTTAGTTTTCCAGTTCAATTTTATCTTTGGGGTTTCTTAGGATGGCTGCTATTTTTCTGTCTATTTTGAAGGCAGTCTTGATGTGATGCATCAGTCTTGATGTGATGCATGATGTGATGCCTGTGTAGTATCTTACATACATATATACATATATACATATATACATATATACATATATACATATATACATATATACATATATGTATATGTATATGTATATGTATTCATTCTTAAGTTTTCGCGGGTATTTATATGTATGGTATTCAGCTTTGTTCGGGTATTTTCCCACATCATTATAGTTGTGCTTTTAAAGTTTTAGCAACGTTTCGGCAGAATCTCATCTGCCATCATCAGGATTCTGTATAGTGTTCATCTGTGAGTCAGATTTTCACAGCCTGCTCAGACAAACACAATACTGATGATGGCAGATGAGATTCTGTTGCAACGTTGCTTTAATATATATATTAAAGAGCCATTGCGGGGCATTATTTCTCTTCAAATCCAAGCAGCGATCAGTAACTAACCACATAATAGTACTTGTTAGTAATAAAAAAGAAAAGATAAGAAGTCTTTGTAGAACATCTTTCCAAATCATCTCAACTATTCATTATACATTTTGCTTTTGGGATCAAGGATTTCATTTTACTCAGTGTATCTCCTGTATAATTTTCAGTCCTCCTGCCCACCCTTAAGCACTTAACCTTGCTTTTTAGAAATTAAGTCTTGGAATATATCACACGCAGGCTGAAATTTCTAAAAACACATAAGGAAACGATTTAGAAAGTTAACCATGCTTTGAATAATTTAAGTGTCTATGTGTAACAAGAGAAAAGAGCTTTTTTTTTAAAAAAAGCCCCAATCTATCAAAATGTGTGAAATACTTCTGAGAAATTTCAGAGGCACTTCCTCTTTCCAACTTACTATTAGAATTACTATCGCTAGTTCTGGGTGGCTCAAAACCTTCCTTGAAAGACAGAAACTTTCCAGTGAGTCTGCAATCATAGCATCAAATGATTTTTTTCTGTGCTGAATTTCAAAGAACACACAATATGATATAAGTTGCCCTTGACTGAAAAACTTTTCATTTAGTTTGAAGTTAGAACAGCACTTGAAAGTAGTGGCTTGTACTGATCCTCTCACTTTGTAAACATTGCAGCATCCCCATGACCACGTGATCAATATTCGGGCATGGCATCCAACATACATTTATGATAATTGCAGCCTCCCAGGATCACCATTTATAACCTTCCCATCTGGCTTCCGACAAGCAAAGTCAATGGGGGAAGCCAAACTTGCTTAACAATCTCAAATAATACAGTTGTTAAGCAAATTTGCCCTCCACCCATTAACTTTGCTTGTCAATATTTGACTTAACGATGGAAATTCTGGCCTCAATTGAGGTTGTAAATTGAGGTTGTAAATTGTGCTTCAGCACAAACTAATTTCAAACTGAACAGGTTAATACTTTTTGGCAGCTGCAGTTGCCCCGTCAAGTCGTAGCCCTCTGCTCTCTGGTCTGCTACTCCAACAACTTCCAGGCTCATTGCCCTGTTTTTTCCCAGAGGTACCAGGGACCAACTTATTCTCCTCCTCCAAACTAGCATCTGGAGAAGAGACTGGTGACACATCCATTACATTGCTTCACAATTACAAGCTGGGTGATCATTTCGTATTGTTTAATAAGCAGCTTGTCTCTGTATTGTTTTCAATCTTATTACAGTGCTTATTTTTTTCATGGAAAAAATTCATGGAATCTTATTACAGTGCTTATTTTTTTTTCTTGATAAGAAACTTTTCATACCCTCTCCTTGCTGCTTCAGAGTTTGTCACCATTAGTTGAAATTATTTCCTTAATTTGGATTTGGAGGAAGAAAATAAAGTAGTTTCTAATATGCCCTGTTATTGAGCATACAGTAGCTGGCTTTCAAAGCTTTGTAGTTTAAAATATCTTGTCTTTTTTCAAGTTTTAGTATATAGTAAGTCTCCCCATCAAAAATGGCCTTTTGTCTTTTGCTGTGGAATTGCAAACACAAAACATGAAGGTCCAAAATATAGAGCGAACATAGGAATATGAGTTAAAAAAAACATGGCTAGGTTACACATAACCATTGTAGTCAGCCAGTTTCTGAGCTTTTGTGCTTTCATATTCTTTAAAATAGCAGGAATATCCAGTGTGGAGTGGTGATTATTGAGATCCACCTTCTAATCCACAGAAACTCACTGGATGATTTTAGTTCTTTTCTGTCCCTCAGTCCAACTCATTTATTTATTTAGCATATGGCATATCATATATGGGCTAGCAATAGATATTAACATTACTCCTAGATTAATAAACACAATAAAATACAAATGTTTAAAAGATCTATGTTTGAATACCAATATCTAGGTCATCTAATCATTGAAGTACAGCATTGTTTATATTTAAAAAAATCAGATACTGGACCGATATATGCCCTCAGTTTATATCCACTTATGATGTGATGTACAGTTTGAAGTAGGATCTAGGTGTCACACTGAGGGGAAGATACTATGCCCCATTTATACAGTTTGTCCTGACAGATGCCATGTGAGATGCAACTCCTATTCAGGATGGTCCATTGCTAATGTGATAGTTCAAAGCCTGGCACCTTTATTGTGGGGTCATTTATATGTCTTTCTGTCTCTGGGCATTCAGTGACCTATTTGGCTTTCCAGTGGGAATCAAAATTAAAGTTGTTGGGCAAATGTTGTACAAGTGCCAGTAGAGGCTTCCTGGATTTGAATCTTCCAACAGATGAATGAGGAAAGTTGGCATGCACCCACAGGAGTAAGTTTAAACCACGACAATCCAACTCATAGGGTTACTTTTGTGATAAAATGAAGAGAGATCCAGATATAATCCACCTTAAACTCTAGGGAAAAAAAGATGATTATAAATCTAAAAAATCATGAGAATAAGGTCAGTGGCTTAATGTAAGATTATACTTATTTGTAAGTCTTCTTATTGAACTGAAAAAGCATCAGAATGTACATTACTTAAAAATCTGTACATTGAAGGTGAATCATGTTTCTTTGACTATGACAGGTACTTCAGTCCTTCAGGTGACAGCTACAGATGCAGATGATCCCACCTATGGAAATAGTGCCCGTGTAGTTTATAGTATTCTTCAAGGGCAACCATATTTCTCTGTTGATCCTAAAACAGGTAAGTTGATTTTTTCCATTATAGCTTCATCATGAACAATATTATATTAGGATGTATGATATGATAATTGCATCAACATTATCATTTCTATTTTTAACATACTACCATAATTACCACACAAAACATTACAAGTGCATACTGCACAGACACTTTGGGCAACTTTAGGATTTCCTCCTTTTTATGTCCAAATCTTTTCCTTGTTATATATGAGTAAAAAAAGAGGGGAAATCTGACCAAAGTATTCACCTGTAGGCATTTATAACTCATTTAGAGGATGACAATATTTATTTGAAAGGCAGACTGTTTTCTAATTTGCTTTTGAAATTAGATGGCTGGATTCAATAAAAATACTTTAGTAAGAACAAAATAAAATCATATTAAATCCAGGGCCATTTTCCTTTTATATAAAGGCAGGTAACAGAAGAGTGTTTAAATGGTATCAGTGATAAACTGCAGTTATACATATTTGAAATATCTGTGTGACTGAATGCACAAACACACAGGTATGCAATTGTTATTTCCAATGGATGCTAAAATAAAAGGTGACTGTATAAACAAGATGCTGTTCTGATTCAAACATATATTTCATTTTTTAGCTGTAAAATAGTCCCTAGACTGAAACATTGCACTTTTGTGGCACTGATTTCGAAACTTGTACCCTGTCACATTTAGGATTTCTGATAAATTATGGACATTTTCTCATATTAAAAATGTGGCATTTTTCTTTTCATTCTAAATTATGAAAGTGTAATATCAATATAACACTAGGATTATAGTTTGATTAGTCATTAGAATGTTGCCATTTAAAAATTAAGCAAACATAACTTAGTTTTGACATTTGAAATTGTATGTCGCATTTGTATATAAGAGATAGTTATAATTCTGTATAGCATATTTGTTCAATGGTTGATAGAACATTTTATTAATTTATTTTTCTTTTAATGTATATGTTACTTAGCAAACAACATAACCTTTTTGTTGTTTGCATTTTCTTAATTCTTTAAGTTTATACTCTTCTTCCATTTTTACCGAAGTATGAATGTTGAAGACATACAGATATCAAAGACAAACTTAGATTAAAATAACTTGAAATTATAAATCATACACAACCTTATAATAATAATCCTTCATTCAACAGTTGAAGTTCCATAATACAGCATTCCAAAATCCATGGAGAATTTCAGATGGAACGAATTTTGGACATAATCCTGTTATCAAATGGTGTGAATATCTCAGCCACATTGTATTACCATTCTTTTCAACTGGAAGGAAATTCAAATAACATATTTTCATCTGTAGTCAAAAGAGCCACACTGGCATAGCTTTATACCTATTCAAATTATGATAGCACTCTTTTTTAAAAAAAAGTTCTAGACCAATACTCGAATACAGTTCATCAGTCTGGAACCCACACTACATATCTGATATTAGCACAATTGAGAAAGTCCAGAAATATTTCACAAGAAGAGTTCTCCACTCCTCTACTCGCTGTAGAATACCTTATGCCACCAGACTTGAAATTCTAGAACTAGAAAACCTTGAATTACGCCGTCTTCGGTCTGACTTAAGCATGGTATACAAAATCATACATTGCAATGTCCTACCTGTCAATGAATACTTCAGCTTCAACCATAACAACACAAGAGCACACAATAGATACAAACTCAAAGTAAACCGCACCAAACTTGATTGCAGGAAATACGACTTCAGCAATAGAGTGGTCAATGTCTGGAATACTCTACCCGACTCTGTAGTTTCTTCCCCAAACCCCAAAAACTTTAACCTTAGACTGTCTACTATTGACCTCACCCCTTTCCTAAGAGGTCTGTAGGGGGCGTGCATAAGCGCACCAACGTGCCTACCGTCCCTGTCCTATTGTTTCTCTTATTCTTTTATTTTTCTTATATGTAACCATTTCATGTATTCACAACTATGTATACATTTATACTTATTATCTTGTAAACAATTGGCAAATCAAATAAATAAAATAAAAATAAATAAATAAATAAAGTTTTAGTGAATTAATTTTATAAAACTGAATAACTTGATATACAGGAAAAAAAAGAAAGAAAGAAATTGGGAGGCCTTCATCCCGCCTTATTAGCACTAGAGTTACTCTAATGAGATGTTCAACCATATAAATTGTTTAGATAAATAAATATGGTAGAATAATATACACAATGTCACATGCTGCCTTTCCAGGGCCTCTTACCCATGTGTCAATTCTCTCCCTTAGTGGAGAATTGGGAGAAAGGATTGCCTTGTGAATGGCGGAATGATTTGGTCAAGAAAAAAAAAATCACATCTGAGTTAACTAAAAGGAAAGTTTTAATTCAGACTTTTCCATTGATCAGGGGCCAACAATTTGTATTTAAACAACAAGGTGTTAAGTATGGAGAATAATGGAGACCAGACATCTGACCAGTGACTTCAACTCTTTAATAACAGTAAATAGAACAGAACAGAGCAAGGCTATGGGCAGCAGTAACCCTTTTATAGGGTTAGCTGCTACCTTATTACCCAATGAGATGAGCAGCAAGTTCAAACTAATAACAAATAAGAATAGTCCGAATAGTGGCCAATCAGGGACTAGTTCTGGCCCAATCCAAAGTTGTTGTATAAGGACCAATCAAGTGTGCAGGTTTTCAAACCCTGATTTGCATTTAAGTTATTAACTTTTATTGATTCACAACACCCCTCCCCCTTGGGTTCCGTTTGAGGGGAGCTGTAATAAAATCCTCAAGATAGACAGGCCATTTGGTCTGCCTGGATGATTTCCGAGGCTCCACCGGTTTTGGTCTAAGGTCCGGTTCCGGTGGAGCGTTTGGATGATCTTTATTAAATTCTGTTTCGCTGCACGGTGATTCCGTGCTGCTTTCACTCTGGTTGTCTCCGCTAATCCGTGTTTCTTCGGGGTTTTGCAGTTCGGTTTCCCCCGTATTACAGTTCCCTGAAAAAGTCAACTCCCTCCCCGCTTCACGTTCCGGTGTCTCGCTGGGCCGTAGGGTTCCCGTTGGCCTGCTATTTGTCATATCACAGTCAATTCCCTCGATATTTCCTCCCCCTTGAGTTGGTGAACCCGGGGAGTCATGGGCGCTGGGTGGTAATCTCGATCGGAGTTGGTCTATGTGGCGTTTCCACACCCTCCCATCGTCTGTTAGCAGGCGGTAAGATCTAGGCCCGGTGAGGTAGGTAACGGTTGCGGGTATCCACAACGGGTCACCGGAAAAGTTTTTGGCAAAGATTAAATTGCCTACCTTAAATTCCCGGCATTTGCTGCTGGAGCCGAAGGGCTTTTCCGGTGCGAATGCGGGGTGGAGCCGGTCAAGGTGCGATCGTAGTTTCCGCCCCATAAGAAGTTCAGCGGGTGTTTTGTTGGTCACACTGTGGGGCGTGATATGCTGTAACAAGAGAATTCGATTGATTTTCTCATCGATGTTGCCGAATTCCATTTTGTGAAGGGTCTTTTTTACAAATTGTACCATGCGTTCTGCACGTCCATTGGCCGCAGGGTGCGCGGGCGAGGTTAGCGCATGGCGGATGCCCCGATCAGCAAGATATTGTTCAAAGGGTAACGCAGTAAACTGTGGGCCGTTGTCCAAGACCAACACGTCTGGGAACCCATGTGTGGCAAATAGTCTGTTTAATTTATTGATAACTGAGTCCGTTGTAGTTGTGTTCATTCGATGGATCTCGAGCCAATTCGAATAGGCGTCGACAGTAATAAGGAAAGTGTGTCCTTTGGTAGGCCCCGCAAAGTCAATATGAATACGGGACCATGGTCCCCTCGGAGTTTCCCATTCTGTCGGGATTGCTTTAGGCGGAGCGTTGCTGACGTCTTGGCCACGTTGACAAGTAGCGACCCAGGCCTCGATTCTTTTGTCGATTCCCGGCCACCAAGCGTAGCTGCGTGCAAGTGCTTTCATCCACACGATACCCGGATGTCCTTCATGCAATACCGCCAAAACAGTTTGTTGCAATTTGCTAGGGATTACGACTCGATCGCCCCACAAGATACAGCCTTTCTGGGAAAACAGCTCAGTTTGGCGGCTTTTAAAAGGCGCCCATTCCGGTGCTATTTGGTCTGTCGGCCACCCCCGTTCAACCCAGCGTAGGATGTGTTGCAGAACTGGGTCACGTTTTGTTTCAAAGGCAATGTCTCTAGCCGTCAATGGTGGCACATGTAGAGCTTCGATCTGTAGTGTTGAGATGGTGGGGGCTGGATCTACAACAGAGTCTGGAAGCGGCGTTCTGCTCAATGCATCAGCGTGGAGAATTGATTTCCCCGGGCGATGTTGCAAGGTGTAGTTGTAGGCCGCCAAGAATTCAGACCAACGGATCATTCTGGGGGACAATATATACAGGGTTGGTTTATTACCCGCAATGATTCCCAGTAGCGGTTTATGATCAGTGATTATTGTAAACGCACGGCCATAAACATATTCATGAAATCTTTTAACTGCAGCCACAATAGCTAAAGCTTCTTTGTCCAGCTGACTATAATTTCGTTCAGCTTTAGCTAAGGTTCGCGAAAAAAACGCGATGGGGGCTTCCGCTCCATTTGGTAATACGTGGGCCAGAATTGCCCCAACCCCAAAAGGTGATGCGTCACACGTGATAGTGAGCGGCAGAGTCTCATTGTACTGCATAAGTACAGAATCAGAAGTTAGTAATTTCTTTACTTGTTGGAAAGCATGTTGTTCCCGTTGTCCCCACACCCACGTTGCTTTTTTGTCTAATAGTCTATGCAATGGTTCAGCTACTGTTGCTTTGTGGGGTAAAAAGACATTATAGAAATTGATAAGTCCAAGTAACGCCTGTAGGTCTGCCTTGTTCCTTGGAGTGGGGCCTTTTTAATTGCCCGTAATTTGTCTTCGGTGGGATGGATTCCTTGGCTGTCCAGGAGATATCCCAGAAATTCTACTTTTTCGGTACATAACTGGCATTTATCTTTTTTTACTCTGAGGCCTGCATTTTGGAATCTTCGTAAAACCTCTCTG